AGATATAAGGGATTTGAACGTTTGTAGAAGCTGAAATCATCAAAACATTTCATAGTCTATATTAAACATAATCACATAGGTAATCATAAACTAGAGAATCTAGAATTAACCGATGTACTGGAATATGCGAGTGTTGCAGTAAGTTGTAGACATTGTTGTACTTTTTGAAGGGTAAAGAAGTTGTCTCTATTCGTTGAACAATCGGATTTGGATTCCTGGGCATATAAACATCGTTTTATTCTCCGAACCCGCTATTAACCTGCTAACCTGAAACGGGACCGTCGGTTTTTATAATACATACCTAAATTTAATCATAATTACATTCCTCATAGCAATCGGTTCTTGAAAGCACCCAGATATACCGTGCTAATCTTCCCCAACACTTAGGTTTGCAGTTTGACTCTTATGGGAATAATGGAACTACCCAATCACCTTTTTCATCACAATCAAAACCGGCCGGTAAGAATCTGCTGCCTCCTCGGCATTTTGACGTAGGACTACGTCTTTCGGGAAGATAGGGGTACAATTTATGAAAAGCGAAAAATGAAATTATGAAAGATTTTGAACGTCAATAACATAGCTGCCCCTGGACCAATTTCAATTATTTTATCACCAATCGATCAAAAACATTTCTACACATCGAAAACAATGCTTTTGACTGTTGATTTTCAAATTGAAACTATTGAAAAAGTGGTAAATGTCAAGCATTGTCCGAAAGCTTCTAAATAACTAACAAATCCACCAATTACGTACATTAGAGTGATGCAGTGATGCAGTGATGCAGTGATGCAGAGTCTGCTTCAAAAGCTTTTAACTTTACTTGTAGGAAATTTTCCCAGCTACAACTTTGCTGAAGACCATTTTTTGATTAAATGCAAGGATCGAAAGTCATTAATGGTTCAATGCACTGATGTCTTATGATCATGCTCAATCAACTGCTCAGCAGGCAACATTGGTGTTTCTGGGGCTTTGAATAGGACACAAAAATCATGGCTTTTTTTTTTTTTTTTCTCTGTTCGGGACATAAAACTACTGCGACCAGTAATTTGATCTATTGTAGTATATCCCGTGTCCTTAGTTTAGTGCATGTCGTATTACTTCATCACTATTGAAAAATGATGAAGTATTCGGTTTTGATACAGTTGTCATTCTTGCCTTCATCGCAAGGAATCGATTCTAATTGAAAGGTTCCGCTATTTATACCCTTCGGAGTGTTGGAACACCCTCCAAAGGCGCGCCCCTTTGTCAGTCAAAATTGGATTCCTTAGCAACAAAATTAAGGAACGACACCGATAGTGACCATGCATCAGAACCCTAGTCTTAACCACTTCAAACTAGGGAACAACGAATAGAAGATTAGGAATCACATAGATGAAGACTAACTAACTCATTTTTTCCTTGTTTCAAGATCATCCTCGTTCCAGGCAACCCGAGGACTTATCACTATCAACAAGGCATAAAAAGTAACAAGGACTAAGATGTGTTCCTTTGATTACTGAAAAATCCTGTTCCCCTAGTTTGAAGTAGTCAAGACTAGGAATCGGTGGTAGATCTTACATCCCGTAACGTACCACGAAAAGGTGATCTACCCACGTTACGGGGCAAAATCATGGCTACTATGTCACACTGCAAAATACAGTGTTGCCTACAGAGCAGCTGCCTTATCATGTCATAAGTTTACCAATCTCTTAAATAATTAATAACTATTTCCTGTCTCGTTTTACATAGAAACGATCTTCAGCAAAGTTGTAGCTGAGAAATTTTCTATAAGAATAGCTATCGAGCTGTTTTGCAGCTCAATATGGAAAAAGACTACAAGGCAATTAACAAAAAGTTGAGATTTCCCATAGTAATTTACATGTAAACTTCAAATGGTTTGTGCGAAGTCTATTTCTAACCAAATGAGTTGTAACTTTTGGAGGCTAATCACGACCCGATTTGAAACCATTTAAGCACTCTGGAGCGAAAAAGTTAAATTTTGCATCAGTCTAACGTACATGCATGTGCTGCTTCCCCAACACAGTCATCAGAGAATGGTTCCTAGATGAAACAAGTCGAAGTGACATTCGCCTACGATCTTCGGGCGGGTACGAATAGGGAGGATACAATTGCGGAACATTTTGTTGCCAATTCAGAACCACACGCCCCCAAGACCACAGAAATTCTGTTTTTTTTTTCACCCATGCTTGGCATACACAGTTTTGGTCATGAACTGCTCATTTGCTAATAACTTTGCACACAGTTGACGCAACATAGTTCTTTTTGAAGCAGTAGATAGAATAGAGTGTAAGCTTGTTATAGATATGAAAAATAAAGTAGATTTTAATGCTAGTAGTAAACTGTATTTGTTTTTGCGTTGTAAAAATGAGGTGAGAAATGCTCACTACACATCTCGGAATTTAAGTGTTAAATTGATTAGTGTTGATTCAAATGTTAAGCTTTACCTAATCTTCGCATATCTATAGTAAACTATGAGCCTAATCTATCAATCACTTTAAAGAAAAATAAATTTCAACATCTGAGTGAAAAGTTATTACCAAATGAGCAGTTGGTGTGTACAACTGTGCATGCCCGCACCTGGACCCTACCTATCGACCCATCAACTCATGAACCGGGAACCCCGAAGGAAGGCGTGATCTTATGCCTCGGAACTTCCCGGCAGCGTTGACTGGGATTGAACCCAGGCCTGCTGGGGTGCTTACCACTACACCACGGGCGCCGCTGCTCTCTGGAGTTGTAATCTTGTAACAAAACTTGGAAGCAGGGGATACTCTATATAAATTCTATTCTAACTCTTTTCTGAAATGAACTTGGTGGCCCTGAAAAGTGCCGTTTTGTTACATTGCTGATAAGTTTTAATCTCAGAAACCGTACAGAATGCGTCCCTGTCGCTTCAGAGCGTATATGCGTGACGGCTTCACGCATATTTTCTAGGAACACCTTCATCACACCTCGGGTTTCCTCGAAGATCAGACCGGAGACGCTTGACATAACCACGTCGAGCCAGACGACGAATGGCAGGCTTGGTAGTACCCTTGATGTTTTCACCTCGGTTTTCACCTAGAACCTTCCGATGACGCTTGGTGCCTCCTTTTCCAAGCACTTGATGCTTGTTTGTCGTTGAACGGGCCGGTACCATATTTTCTCGCTTCCCATTGGCTATATAATATAGCCAATGGGAAGCGAGAAAATTTTTCTATTATAATATAATATTTATATTATTTAGTTTCGATTCACCCGTTCAACGACAAACAAGCATCAAGTAAGCAAAGGGAAGCAAAGGCTTGGAAAAGGAGGCGCCAAGCGTCATCGGAAGGTTCTGCGTGAAAACATCCAGGGTGTTCCCAAGCCTACCATCCGTCGTCTGGCTCGACGTGGTTGTGTCAAGCGTCTCCGGTCTGATCTTCGCGGAAACCCGAGATGTGCTGAAGGTGTTCCTAGAAAATATGCGTGATGCCGTCACCTACACTGAACACGCCAAGCGCAAAACCGTCACGGCCATGGATGTCGTCTACGCTCTGAAGCGACAGGGACGCACTCTGTACGGTTTCGGAGGTTAAATCTTATCACCAACGTAACAAAACGGCCCTTTTCAGGGCCACTAAGTTCATTTCAGTAAAGAGTTAGAATATAATTTATATAGAGTAACCCATGATTCACCCATTCAATTTGTCACTACCCGAAATAAAAATTACAGTGAAATTTTCAGTGGAAACAATGCTCTAACATTAATATTTATTGTCGACAATAAAAATGATTGTTAAAATGTTGTACTCTTCCGAAAACGACAAAACTGCTACCTAGCTGTACAATGAATGTACATAATAAAATGTTGCTACAATGGTTTTTATCGTATTTTTCATTTATTTTATTGTTAACATGATTCGATCAAGAACAATAATGAACAACTCTGTCGCGAACAACGCGAACAGTTAGCACAGGATACAATTCACCAGACGAAAAACCCACACAAATTATATTGTACCACACATCACACAACCAACAGATATAAATATGACCAGCATCCCGGCCAAGTATTCAGTTCAAACCAAACTATTGTATCATCTACACGTCAAATACAACCTTTCAAAGCAACGCAGTGAAGTCGACTTCATTTTCTCCCTCCGACCGAAGCCAACCAAACAGCCTTTGTCAAGGCTAGAGTTTAGAACTTTCTCACCGTGAACCAGAACCAGTGACCTACCCCAAATCATTCCACTCCGCCGTTGCCAGGCGTGGGAGCTACCGAAGAGGATTCCGTTGCGCGGATATCTTTTTGGTCCTTCGAACCGGATCGTTGAGATCATTCGAAGTGGAACCAGTGACACTAACGTTGTGCATTGTCATCCATTTGCCGTCGCTTTGTTGCGACCCCACCGCTACTGCTGTAGTAGCATCATCGCTTGCCCATTGTGGGGCAATTCAAATCGATCACCGATCGTTCGGTCGGTGCACCATTGCTGTGGTTTTGGTCGGTTGGAGATTGTGTGCTTTCCGTCGCTTGGTCGTGTTTGCAAGTTTCGCAAAAGTTAGCAGCGAGTGATAGTGCAAAATTTGGACTTGAACAATTAAAGAAACTGCAGTGATATTTTCAAGAAAAGCGCTAGTGCGTGATATCGTGTTACACTGTGTGACCGATAAAAACCGCACGTACCCTGCCGTTTTCCCGGGTTTAGCGTCAAAACCCGTCGGATCATCTCGTTTTCCAGGTTTGGGCGTCAGAACCTGTGCAATCATACAACGCGTTTTCCAGGTTTGGGCGTCAGAACCTGTGCCATCTGATCCAGCCGTTTCCAGGTTTGGGCGTCAAAACCTGCGCCATCGCTCGTGAGTTGGTTGTGTTGGGTTGGCGTGATAATCGGTGAGTACAAAGCTAGTGTAAGCAACTTTTTTGGATTTTGGAGTGGTGGAGTGAACCGGCATCCATTTTGATCATTTTGCTTGGGTTGTGGTGGTGATCGGTGGTCTGCTTTTGTTAAGTGGCGGTCCCTGTAGGCGAAATGACTTCGCTTCGGGAGCGGTCTAAGATATTGAGCGTCACGGTGGACGCTATCAAGACCATCGAAAGCTTCGTTAAAAACTATGATGCCGAGGTCGATCAAAGCAAGATCGATTCAAGATTAATTAGACTTGATACCCTATATGACCGATTCGTTGATGCATCTATTGCGATGGAATTAATGATGGAGGAAAAATCGGAAACAAAAGGCTCTTTTCTGAAGAGTCGCCACGAAATGGAAGATACCTATTACACACTGCATGATTTCCTCACTACACACAAATTAGACTGTCATGTTTCAGTATCCGCTACCACCTCACCCATGGCTAATTCGGTAGTGCGCCTACCGAAGATCGATCTGCCGACCTTTGATGGTGAGATCGATGGCTGGATCCCTTTCTATGACACTTATCGCAGTCTGATCCACAACAATAAGGGTTTGGCTGCTGTGGATAAGTTCCATTATCTGATGGCTGCGTTGAAGGATCCAGTCAAGAAATTGCTCGACACGACGAGCGTCACGGGGGATAACTACAAGATCGCTTGGGATCTGTTGGTTAGTCGGTACGATAATAAACGTCTGCTGATTAAAAATCACATCAGCCTGTTGTTCGCTATTGAACCTGTGAGGAAGGAATCTTCTGCTGCGATATTAGCCTTGGTTGACCAATTCGAACGTCACGTAAAGATTTTAACGACGTTGGGGGAGCAGACCGAGCAATGGAGCTCCCTGCTGGTACACATGTTGTGTAGTCGTTTGAATAACAGCATCTTGAGGGAATGGGAGAGGTCAACAGGCAGCGATAAGGAGAAGATTCCAACCTACAGCGAACTGATTGTCTTCTTGAAAGATCAAGCTCGGATCTTATTGTCCCTGAACAGTGATAGCTTGATACCCTCCCCTCCAAAAGACAAACCACGTCTCTCTGTTGCTCATACCGCATCCGTTGCAAAACCATCTCAATCAAAATCTTTCAGCTGCATCGTGTGTAATCAACCACATCGGATTTACGATTGCGAGGTGTTCAAACGGATGCCAATCGAGCAAAAGCAAGACACCGTCCGCAAGAAGAAGCTCTGCTGGAATTGCCTGTCGTCGAGTCATCTCAGCCGTGATTGCTCTTCCAAACCCTGTCGGAAATGCAACGAGAAACACCACACACTGTTGCATTCCTCCTCCCCCAACGATCGTTCCACCCAACCCCAAGTAAAACCACCACCTGGACACCAACAATCCACCATCATCAACGGAAGCGAAGCCGTGGTTCCGGCATCGTTGTCGACTCTAATTCCACTATCACCTACCACCTCGTCTGTCACCCACCAACCTCTCACCAACGCATTAGCTGCAGCAAGCTCTTCCACCACCACCTACTCAACTGTTCTGTTATCCACCGCCGTGGTAAGGGTCCACGGCCCGTCGGGGAGATCTACATTTGTTCGAACCCTGCTGGACTCCTGTTCCGAGTCAAACTTCATCACCGAAAGAATCGTTCAGCTTTTGGGATTGAACCGACGAAAGCAAGCTGCAATTATCGCTGGAATGGGTGGTTCTACTATCAACAGCACCTACTGCACCGTAGCAGATTTCAGTTCTGTTAATTCCGCCTACTCTAACACACTGACGTTCAGCATTCTCTCCAAGATCACGAACGATCTGCCTTCTCGGGCAATCGACATTTCGCAATGGAACCTCCCTCCTGACTTAATCTTGGCAGATCCAGATTTCGCTTCGCCGCAAAGGATCGATATGGTTATCGGTGCTCAGCTGTTCTTCAGCCTTCTGCAGGAAGGACAAATCCCAGTGAAAGCTGGTCCTTCTGAACACCAGCCTGTTCTCCAACGTACCGTGCATGGATGGGTAGTAAGTGGACCGGTCGCCATCGATATCGCTACCCAAGACTCTGAGCGAGTCGCTCTGTTGTGCACCACCGATGACTTAGACCAACAACTGACTCGATTCTGGGAAGTCGAGAGTTGCCCTCAAAGCCGTGGACTGTCTAAGGAAGAATTAGCTTGCGAGATGTACTTTTCCGAAACCACCACCCGCGACGAATCAGGCCGATTCGTTGTACGCCTGCCGAAGAAAGAGCACGTCTTGAGTCAACTTGGTGACTCTGAGATCGGTGCCCTTCGCAGATTTCAATGGATGCAACGTCGACTCAGCAAGAACCCCAATTTGAAAGCCCAGTATGTTAATTTCATGGCAGAATACATCGATCTTGGCCATATGGTTCCCGTAGCTCCGTTACAAGACAACACCCGCTCATTCTATCTTCCCCACCACGCCGTGCTCAAGCCCAGCAGCACTACCACTAAGTGCAGAGTGGTTTTCGATGGGTCCAGCAAGTCTTCTACGGGAATCTCTCTCAATGACTGCCTCATGGTGGGGCCGACTGTTCAGGACACATTATACGCTATCGTCATCAGATTCTGCATGTACGAGGTGGCTCTAGTTGCAGATGTTACCAAGATGTATCGTCAGATGTGGGTACATCCCGACGATAGGCGTCTTCAGCTCGTTTACTGGCAAAGCAGGACGGATCCACACGTCCGTTCCTACGAGCTGACCACGGTAACATACGGCACCGCATGTGCGCCGTATCTAGCTACTCGGTGTCTACAGCAATTGTCATACGATCACTCGGAGAGCGAAACCGATGCTGCAGCAAAAATCGGCAAGGATTTCTACGTGGACGATTTCCTCAGCGGTGCTGACACTGTGGAGGAAGCAATGCAGCTACGTTCTGGAGTGCAGAGCATCCTCTCGACGGCAGGGTTCGAGCTTCGAAAGTGGTCGTCGAATTCGTCCGAAGTGTTGTCAAACATCCCGGACAACCTGAAGGATAATAGGCCGATTGTAGCAGTAGATGACATCCAAGGCTCCGTCAGCACACTCGGTCTGCTGTGGCACCCTGAATCGGATACCTTCCGGTTCAAAGTTCCTGAGCGATTCTCTGATAATTCGATCACGAAACGAATCGTGGTCTCCGAGATGTTCAAACTCTTTGATCCCTTGGGCATCCTGGGTCCGGTGGTCATCACAGCCAAAGTTTTTGTCCAACAACTTTGGAAGTTGAAACTGAGCTGGGACGAGGAGCTTCCCAATTCACTATGCACCGTGTGGGAAGACTATAGACTTGGTCTGGCTGCTCTAGGATCATTTTCCATCCCTCGTTTGGTCAAAGCTCCAGGCGCCGGAGACAACGTACAACTTCATGGGTTTTGCGATGCATCCCAAAATGCTTACGGAGCATGTATCTACTTGAGAAGTGTCGGAAGAAGTGGTGTCGCCACAACACGTCTCCTAACCGCCAAATCCCGAGTAACTCCTATCCAAACCCTATCAATCCCCCGCCTAGAGCTCTGCTCTGCTGTCCTCCTTAGCCAACTGTTCCAAACCATTATGTTAAGCCTCAACATCAATGCTAATGCTTATTTTTGGTCTGACTCTTCAATCACTCTCCACTGGCTGTACAACCCACCGTCCAACTACAACACTTTCGTGGCAAACCGTGTCGCGGAGGTGCAGCGACTCACTAAAGGAGGCACTTGGAATCACGTCGCCGGTCTGGAGAACCCGGCCGATCTCATCTCGAGGGGTGTCGATCCCTGCGAGCTCGTCAACAACGTACTATGGTGGAAGGGTCCACCGTGGTTAACGTCTAATCCAGCGGAGTGGCCAAGTATGTTTGCAGTCCAAGACGCCTGTGAATTTCCTCCCGAAGTTCTCGAGGTGAAACTTCATACGCTTGCAGCCGTCACTCGATCCACCGAAGCCCCCGACCGCACACTGTTCATCCGCTACTCGTCACTAACGAGACTCACCCGCATCGCTGCATATTGCCGCAGGTTCGTGCGGTACTGTCGGGCCAAGATAGCTGGATTCGACGTACAAGCTATTCCGTACCTTACCTCAGCAGAACTCCTTCAAGCACAAGAAGGCCTTGTGAAAGTTGTGCAAAATGAGTGCTTCAGCCAAGAAATCGCTATGCTTCAGGCCAGATGCGAAGCGGATCTCAAGAAGTCCCCATTACGTACGTTGAATCCCTTCATCCACGATGATGTACTTCTGGTCGGTGGCCGGCTGAACCACTCTTCATACTCGTTCACCCGCAAGCATCCAATGCTTTTGCCTGCAGCGCACCCGTTTACCTCACTACTCGTTGATTCGGTGCACAAGCAGCTTCTCCACGCTGGTCCGCGTGCGATGATCGCACACATCCGTGAGCAATATTGGCCACTAAACCTCCGTAACCTGGCACGGAGATACGTCAAATCCTGCTTGCGTTGTTACCGCACACGACCACAAGCAGAACACCAGCTGATGGGCCAGCTTCCGAAAGTTCGCATCACTCCGACCCGTGCGTTTCTCAACACGGGCGTTGACTTCTGTGGTCCCGTTTGGCTGAAGGTACCAGTACGTCGAACGAAACCATCTCCACCGATCCGAGCATACGTCGCTATATTCGTCTGTATGGCAACGAAGGCAGTACATCTCGAATTGGTTGGTGATCTCAGCTCCGAAGCATTCATCGCAGCGTTGAAACGGTTCGTTGCCCGCCGAGGCAAGCCAATTGCTCTGTTCTGTGACAATGCCACCAACTTCAAGGGCACAGACAGGGAACTACGAGACCTCTGCAAGCAACTCAACGACCAACAACTCCGACTGAAGGTAGCATCGTTCTGCGCTGAATCATCCATCCAGTTCAATTTCATCCCTGCGAACGCTCCAACATTCGGCGGCCTTTGGGAGGCCGCGGTCAAGGCTTTCAAGCACCACTTTCGGCGAGTCGTCGGCTTGGAATCCCTGTCAAGTGATGTAATGTGTACCATCCTCTGCCAGATAGAGAGCTGTCTCAACTCTCGGCCACTGACCGCCCTATCCGAGGACCCAAGTGACACGGAAGTCCTCACACCGGGACACTTTCTGGTCGGATCAGCACTCCAATCAATCCCGGAGCCCGACCTTGCCCAAGTTCCCAACAATCGGCTGTCACTTTGGCAGGAGATGCAGCGCAGAACCCAAACGTTTTGGAAACTCTGGTCGACGGACTACCTTCATCAACTGCAGCAACGTACGAAGCACTACTACCGGCAGCCGAATGTTCTCGTCGGCAAGCTGGTACTCCTGAAGGACGACAACCTACCACCACTCAGGTGGAGCATGGGTCGAATTGAAACCGTCCATCCCGGCGCGGATGGCCTCGTCCGTGTGGTGACCGTCAGACTGGCATCCGGTGCAATCTTCGACCGACCGATTGTGAAGATCTGTCTTCTACCAACCGACAGCGAAGATAGTTCCGCCTCCACTTCCGGTGAAGTGCCTGGCAGCCCAGATGGAAACGCAGCAACCGCTGCTATCCCAGAAGAATCCTCATGACTTAGATTAAGAAGTGATCTTGAATTAGAGTATAAGTTAATTTGAATGAAATTGTTATTTCATTGGTGGCCGGTATGTCGCGAACAACGCGAACAGTTAGCACAGGATACAATTCACCAGACGAAAAACCCACACAAATTATATTGTACCACACATCACACAACCAACAGATATAAATATGACCAGCATCCCGGCCAAGTATTCAGTTCAAACCAAACTATTGTATCATCTACACGTCAAATACAACCTTTCAAAGCAACGCAGTGAAGTCGACTTCATTTTCTCCCTCCGACCGAAGCCAACCAAACAGCCTTTGTCAAGGCTAGAGTTTAGAACTTTCTCACCGTGAACCAGAACCAGTGACCTACCCCAAATCATTCCACTCCGCCGTTGCCAGGCGTGGGAGCTACCGAAGAGGATTCCGTTGCGCGGACAAACTCTATTACAATAAAAATTGTTGTTACATTAAATATTGGTGTGTTTTCATTGTGGGTTACTTCACGAACAATAAAAATAAATCTGATTGAGGCATGCAGACTATGAGAGGGACAGCAACACTGCCAATGTAATCAAGATAGGCGCTGAAGATGTCAGGAAGGAACTCTCAGGTGGAAGCATATTTCATGGGTGATTCTCTCCAGTAGAATGCATTAACGACGCTCAACCACCAAGGAGACGTGACCTAGAGAGATCGAGTGCAGAGGAGCTGGCCTCCATTTCTCACAAGTTCCGGATCGAATCTCAATCCATAACCAGTAAAAAAAGGACTCACCCGTAACAGACATACCACCCCCTTCCCTTCCCGGGCGATGTTTTATTTTTTCGATTTATTTTTAAAGTCGATAAAGTAGATCTGTCAAGCCAACACATACACTCTAAAGTACACTGTTATTTTTTTCAATCAATAAATTCGCCAACCAACAGTAAAATAACAATAATATATAATTTTATTGCAAAAAATATATATGGGGAAATCACGAAAATTTCATTGTTAAGATACTTAACAACCCCCCTTTTTTATTGTAAATTTTCCATTTACCATGAAATTTACTGTTTTGTACAACATAAATCAAGGTAAATTTATTGTAGACGTAGCAATATAAATCATTGTTAAGACAATAATTTTCGTCTTATTGTTACATTGTTTTTTAATGTATTTTTGTTGTTATTTTTTTCGGGTAAATACATCAAAATGATTCAAAAATCAAATAATTTGTTAGGGAAATAAATTATGTTCTATTTGTAGTCTTATCGGTGGGTTAAATTTTACCCATTTCACTTTCATTAACTGATTGCTTTTATTGACAATAATCGTATTGTCAATACATTCAATATTGACGTCAATACATCGGTATTGACAATATTTCTGCACTCACATCATCAATATTATTGTCAATAATTCCCCTTCGCGTCAATATATTGATACGTGTGGGGTTCGCTTGAGAAACCCTCATCGTATGCATTCTCCTGCTGCGCGACATCTCCGAAAACGTCCGAACTGTAAACGATTTCACAGTCCTACGTCAACAATGCGGTTGTGTCTTGTACACCAGCCTCCAACTTTTTTTTTTAAACGCGATGCTTATCGCTCGGATTCCAACTAATTTGCAGGACATAGCACATGCGAAATCCGTTAACTTCCAAAACACTTTGCACTTTCACTTTACCAAACCCTTTTTTAACCATTTTTATTGCAAGAAGACAATTTCAAAAATGATTGAAAATTACCCGCTTTTCATTTTTTGAAAATACCCATTTTTTGACAGTTTGGAATAATATCATAAAATGAGTTAAATGTACTCATTTAATGGGTACATTCAAGTTAGCGTGAACATCGACATGAATCCGATCAGTGCGCAAAACAGTCAGGTTCATTGAGTCATTTTGATATGAAAATACATTTTCAAAACAAACCAAATACTTTCATTTTGAGAATTTTCGTGCTTAAAACTATCAAAGCTGAGAAACTTTTATTTTGAAAATGCATGGTTTTTATTGATACAATTTTTGTTTTTTGTGTGTATGAACTGCCATCTGCCTCATCATTCACTACCTCGTGAGAGTCTGAATGATTGAGAGGAAAACGAGTCACTGACAGCCGAGCACCCATGGAGAACAAATTATAGCAGACGTAATTATTTTTCCGGTCAAAATAACTATATTGTTCAATACCTAAAAATATACCTATAAAAAATACCTATAAAAAAAACCACAGTAAAAATAAATGGGAGTTTTTATTTTATCTGATGATTAACTCTGTTATTTTCCATTTACTTGAGCTATTTTTTTTATGGATGATGATGATGACATGGAACTACCACTCACTGTAGCAAGACAACCGACCACAAACTATGGACCATCCTCACTGCTCGACCTGATCAAGTCCAACAACCTCCAATTGCATTCCACCCGCCACTGCATAAAAGGCCAAAAACGATTTGGGTGAATCCGTGGGCAACATCGCCAGCGTGCATCTACGGGGCAAACGAGAATCTCCCTCCAACAACAGGATCACACAACCGGCCAAAAAACAGGCCACCCAACAGGGGAACGTGAGTAGGGAAAAGAGCCCGCCCTTCCCTTATGATACTCCCAAAACAGGGAGTCGGCACCTCCACTCCCCCCATCCACCTTGCCTCAATCGGGCGCCCTGGTGAACCCTTCCGTACCCAGCGTATGTTTCATATAATAGTGGAATGAAAGTTAAGAGATAAATAAAGGAAAGATCTCACCCGATATGTTACATAGGAATCCATGACATCACGATGATTTCGAAGAGCTCCCATAGATATGCCACCACTACTTCTTCAATCGGTGTTAAAAACAGCACTCTCGCCTTTTCTTCCTCACACAGCACCCCGAAACACACACTAGCTGCTCGAGCTAGAGGGAGCTCATCCGAGAAAAAATGGACTGCGTCCACTTCTGGATCAACAATAGAAAAGGGCCCATCAGCATTTGTAAACAAACTGTTCCAGAGCCCATTCCTCACAAATCGAAGGCCGCCTACACAAACCAGCACCATCATCGTGTAGGTAGAAGTTTCCCCTATCCGATGATGGTGTTGGTTTGCGTTGGTTGCCTTCGCTTTGTAAGTAAAGGGCTTTGGAACGGTTTGTTTACAAATGCTGATGGGCCCTTTTCTATTGTTGATCCAGACTTTCCATCACCAATCACTCGCGACACAATCACCCCTATTCTGTATTTCGTATCGAACGAAATTCTCATACAAAAAATATTTTTTTGTATGAGAATTTCGTTCGAAACGAAATACAGAATAGGGGTGAATGGCTTTATTTCGCCCGTACAGTCTGTAAAACGCAGCGCCAGCACCTCACCGGCAGATTTAACTCGCGACCAACGCCGAAATCAGAACCGACAAAACCGACGACCTAAACAAACGCGTCAGACGCGGAATGGGCGATGTCGATGCGATTTTTACAGAATCGATTTTTTTGCCTCGAAAAATCGATTTTTTTCATCTGATCTTTTTCTGTTCGATGTTTGACAGAATCGATTTTTCAAAGTTGATATCGATTTTTTACTCATTTAAACTTTTTTATAAAGCATTTTAAAAAAACAAAACGCCTAAATTACCAAAGAGAAAATAAAATCGCCGAGCTCTTTTTATGTTGTTGTTGATTATGTTGAATCAAATGTTATCATTGAATTCTTGAAAAACATGATAAACAAAATGGTATTCCAGAAAAAAATAACAACAAAAATACATTAAAAAACAATGTAACAATAAGACGAAAATTATTGTCTTAACAATGATTTATATTGCTACGTCTACAATAAATTTACCTTGATTTATGTTGTACAAAACAGTAAATTTCATGGTAAATGGAAAATTTACAATAAAAAAGGGGGGTTGTTAAGTATCTTAACAATGAAATTTTCGTGATTTCCCCATATATATTTTTTTCAATAACATTATATATTATTGTTATTTTACTGTTGGTTGGCGAATTTATTGATTGAAAAAAATAACAGTGTACTTTAGAGTGTATGTGTGTTGGTTTGACTTTCACTATCCCACACGGTTAGAAAAAAGTACCCAAAATTAAGTTCTTTTCACTCATCTCGGCACTATAGTGCAGGAACCCAAAAGTAGGTAAAGCGGGTCAAAGTAATTTTCATTTACTTGTGTGCAGTTCGTATGGAATTTTCCACTGGCTTTTTAACCAAAAGTAAGTTAGTTGTACCCAACAGTAGGTAAATATGATTATACTCAACGTTGGGTTCCCACACTATACTACTTCTGTTGGGTGGTTTTGCTCCTTCGTTTTTGACAACATTAGTAGGAGAAAAGGAGACAAACTAGTCAAAAGTAGGTAAAAGTGAACTGGCCGTTGGGTACTTTTTTCTTACCGTGCATGTGTCGTTTGACGTGTAAACCAGTCTTGTAAGCGGTCACGGTAGTCGACACATTTTCTGTGATAATTGACTGCCTTTGCCTCCAACACTTGCAAAACAAGCTATCATAGTACAGTACCAAACTAAAATGTCATATGACAGGCTCTGTCGTACGACACTGTTGCCGAAGACCGTCACGAATGTATGTATTTTAGTTTTTTTCATAATAAGAGCTGCTAATGGTGTGCTTGTGTGTATAATATTTCTGATCAGAAATGATTTGATTTACCCCAAATTGAGGAATTACAACGAAATCACACATGTCATATGATAGCTATTTTGATAATTTTCTTTTAGCTCGAATGTTATTCTACCGCTCGTGTTGTGTGAGAGAGACGACGGTAGAGCATGAGTGTTCGAATACAAACAGACTGTCGCGCACGACAACGAAGCGAGTGTAGTAAAAAACGTCAACTGTTTCAACCCCTGGTGTAAACGTTAAAAAACTCAGTCGGATTGCGGCGGCCATCCAGCATTTTACGCTTATGGCCGCCACAATCTGACTGAGTTTTTGGTAACCCGCATAAACGCAAACCATCACATGACCTTACCGATAATGGTTATAAATTGTTTATAATCCTTGCTAAACTTCAACTGAAATGGTTATGGAACTTTACATGAACGTTTTTGTGATAAAGTTTTAACCTTATGTATTATGGTTTTTTGGAAGCGGACCTTACAAATAATGGGTTGTTAAGAACCATTACCATTGCAAATTCTTGTTTTCTGTATACATTTTCAGAAAGAGAACTATATTAGAACGTTTTTACTTATGGTTTGAGAACATTAATGGTTATGGTTATGGTAGTCAGTAAGGTCCATTAATGGTTTTGTATTATCGCTCAACTTCACGTGAAATATATCGTGAATTGGTAATCAGTAATTTACAGGCAACCAATTCGCGATATATTCCACATAAAGTTGATCGATGTTACAAAACCATTCATGGACCTTACTGGTTACCATAACCATTACCATTAATGTTCTCAAACCATAAGTTAAAAGGTTTTAGTATAGTTTTCTTTCCGAAAATGTATGGAGAAAACAAGAATTTTGAATGGTAATGGTTCTTAACAACCCATTATTTGTAAGGTCCACTTCCAAAAAATTATAATAGGGTAAATGTTGGCTTCGGCACCCATTGACTGTTTTCGGCAACCAAAATTTAAACGTTAATTTCACTATGTTTTCCCATCAACGCACTTCCCTGAATGTGTCCAAACGATTGTTTAGCCTTTCAGCTTCAATCTGATTATATTTGAACGATCGAGCAATCCAGTAATGCTACATTTTTCTTCAAATAAAGCATACGCACTACAAAATGGGGTTGATTTCGAGTTGCCGATAATAGAACAGCTGGTTAACACGCAGTTCTAATGGGAAGGTTGCCGAAGAAAAAGAGGCTGCCGACAATAGTCACACTCACCTGAGAAGTTTGGAGCATTGTAAAAACGCTTTCAAAACGTTTTGAAAAATTCTGTCGATTGGAATGGATAGAAAAGCAAGCAGCAGATGAATGTAAACAAACAGACACATCATATATGTGCGTGACGCTGAGAAAATGCTAGTAGAAGTGCAGACGCTGCTTAGATTGACGAAAATACGTAAATTCCCCTACTGAAGGTTAAAACTTTATCATTAAACGTTCATGTAAAGTTCCATAACCATTTCAGTTGAAGTTTAGCAGGGATTATAAATTTTTTTAACCATTTTAGGTAAGGTCAATTTATGGTTCGTGCTTATGCGGGAAGGAACATATGGTTTGACGTTTGGGTTGTGTCGTTTGACGTGTAAACGTTCAAATTTGAACGTTTACACGTCAAACGACACAAGCCAAACTTTAAATCTTATCTTCCCTACCAAAAACTCAGTCAGATTGTGGCCGCCAGAGTTTAAATGAGTAAAAATATAACCCATTTATGACTATTTCAAGAGCAAATTTTCATTATGTCGTAAGTAACATTCGCACCAATCCGAGAAAAATAAAGTTTTGTTTTGATGACCGAAAAGTTATTTCTATTTCCAAGTAAACACATATAATCTCATAGTGATAGCAATGTTTAACATATTTAGCAGGGTTTTAATCATACAAATGCAAATCGCTAGCTTTCATGCTAAAAAATACTGGTTTTTGAGTCAAAAGTTATTATACGTCGTTTGGTGGCCCCTATTGTTACTTAAGTCAAAGTGTATTTACCAGGATATTCGGGAGAATTATCAATTACGTCTCCTTACGTGCAGCCCATTCATCATTTTAGGACCACCGAAATCATCTTAGCAACAAACAGTTCGATTTATTCACTTTAATAATGAGAAAGCGAAACGACGAACGAACACTTTTCACGGGTTTCTCAGCGCTGTTACTTAAGTCAAACGGCATCTCCATAGAAATTGGGTGACTTAAGTAACATCGAAAACTATTTTGATCGGAAGGTGATTACGTCAAAAAGCAATTTGACTGGTAAATAAATTTAAAAATGGGATTTGATCCTATATTCGGACAGTATTATAGTGTAATAGCAGGAGAATCGATTGACACTGATAGCTCGACTTTGTTTACATTTGTTACATTCGACGTAATGAAAATTTGTTCTTGATTTGTTACTCAAAAATGAATGCTTAATACTTGTTTTTTTTTAGTTGTAATAACTCTTAAATGGGTAACATTTTACTCATTTAATGGGTAGTCCCAGTTTACCTCAAAAATGCTTACTTTGTAGTTATTATTGGGTATTTTGCGGTTACCGTGCAGAAACCCGGCAGAACTGTCAAAATTCGCTTGTGAGAAAAGGAGACGGGAAGATTTAGGATAGGTTTCGTACAATGACGTTTATATGAGGTCTGGGCCAAAGGGCTTATTGGTGTTAGTGAAATGTGCAAATGTTTAGTGGTGTTCGTCTTTTATTGCAATGTTTATCTTTTTACACGAAACAGCTGTTAGCAGTAACGTATTTCTATCTGTTCTCAGTATGTTGGCAGTGACGTATTTCTATCTGTTCGCAGCTGTTCAGCAATGTTTACAACATTTTTGCTTCTAACACCAGCAAGCTGCCTGTTGGCCCAGACCTTATATAAATGTCATTGGGTTTCGTATACACTGATCTGCCTCTAGCCCAATTTTAGGTAGGAGCAGGATAGCGACATTATTTGCTCTGGATTGGAACATTTCAAGGTACTCTTTTTAATTCAGTGTGGTTGATCAGAAAGAGAAAGTAAAAATCAGAAGTGTAAAATACTGTGAAAATGGTGGACAAACTAGGTGAGTGTCACGAAATAATTTGCAAATTTTCGTTATATACGCTAGTATATTTCGCATAAATATAGTACAGCGATGAAATCACAGTGTATATTAACATTATGCAGTGAATCATGCAGCTCAAGGACAGACATCGGAAATTGAAGATCCCTTGCAAAAATGTCAACACTGACTTACTCGATTAATATCTTGATGATTCAGACAGGGAAATATTACAACCTTGCATCATGTAAAATATGGGATAAACAACGAAAAGTTGGTTTAGCAAACGTAAACAAACTAAAAGCATAAACATTGGACGGGTATTGCAAAGGTTACCTGTTCGCGAAAAGTAAAACAGTGATTTATGAGGAAGAAAACTTAAATACATACATCCCATTGTGTTGCTCATTCTGAAAAGCTATTTAGCAAGCTGGAGGGAATACAGCGATGACTTAGACTTGATGTAAATATTACTGTAGTTTTACACTACACCATCCATACGCAAAAAAGAGAATCATCTAGAAAACGGATATGAAAAAACTGAACAGGACTATTATAGTAATAATAGATATAATATCGGGTAAAATACGACCATCTCCGCCAATCGCAAAGTTCGAGTTGATATGGTTGTGCATTTAGTATAAGCTTCCTTAATGGGCGAAGCATGTAGTAGTAGCGTATAGCGAGTGAGTAGCTGTTATCAAGGACCCAAGCGTGAGTCATTTCTAGCGTTCAGAATCATAAGGGCCTAACTGCGATGATCAATTCTCTTCATCGATTTTCTCTTTTTTTTAAATTCTGTTCCAAATTCAAAATAAATTACATTCCTCGATGAACATTTCAAATGGTCCTATCTGCTTTGATCCATTTTCTTCATCGACTTTCTCTTTTCATAACCACTGCTATGCAAACAGGTTTTGCGCTAATTCTACCACATAGTTTGATAAAGGAGGTTCTTATCTAGCGTCCAAAACGTCAAATACAACAGGGAAAGGTTTTGCAGCTGAGTTACTGACGAAAGAGAAAGTCGATGAAGAGAATCGATCAATGCAGATAGGACCTTTTGAAATGTTTATCTAGATTTCATTTTGACCTAGGTGCTCCAGTTACTACAGTAACTTACCAGCCTTAATTGTTATGATATATATCTAAGTGTTTTTACATTGTTCCTGCCTTGGCAATTCAGTATTTTAAACTGGTTTTTTTAAACCTGCATGTCAGTATAACAATTGAAATCTTAAAACTAAATCTTATCTAAGTATAAAGGGAAGGAGGATTGCAACGATTTTAACCTGAAATTATTAATTATTTTGTTGGATATTTGTTCTAAAGTCTCAACATTCGAAATTCTATGTACTTCGGTAGTACTGTACCAAGGAGGCAACTTCAAAATCATCTTCAGAACTTTGTTCTGAATCCTTTGAAGTGCTTTTTTCCTGGTAGTGCAACAACTAGACCATATTGGCACAGCCGTAAAGCTTGGCCAGTCTAAAAACTTGTTTAAATATTAGATCGATTTTCTCTTTCGTTAATAACTCGGCTGGAGTAACATTTCTAGGGGAATTTGATGTTGCTTGTGCTACCTAATACATTCTTTCACTTCACTGTATTGTAATAATTTCGGAAAATTTGTTCACTCAACTGTGGTAATGCGAAGAGAAAATCGATGAAAAGTATTGATAATCGCAGTTAGGTGCTTATGATTCATAATGTTAAATTTAATTCTTGTCTACAAGTAGTTCCCAATGAAGCAATCAGGTTATCAATGATACAACCGAGGAACTCGGTATATTGTACTATATGATTAAATTGCATCAACTAACCAAATAGACTGTTACTAGTGCTTAAAACCAGTGTTCCAAATGCTAATTACATTTTTTTTTTTTTTTTTTTTTTAATTCTTTATTAAAGAGATTTTTAGCCTTAGGCTAGTTTATCTCTAAAATGCTAATTACAGGTAAAATGCTACTTTTCGAAATTATGAAACAATGATGCATAATATTTTTCATGTATACCTACCTAGATACTAAGCGATTCTTTCAGCCTTTGGCGCTGAATAGGGGATCCCTCAAAAGAGTAATGAGTGTGGAAATTTTCACCGTGAAGCATTGGCAAATCAAAGTTGGCACTCGTGGAGAATAGAAGAACTATGAAAGTGATGATGGTTTCAAAATTTTCCACGGGGAGGTATACGAGAGCAATCTTAAAATGCTTTTATTTTGCAAATGGAATATTTTATTTAAATCTAGTTGCTGCTACAGTGGTAGAAAAGCTGAAATCTATGTATACACCTAAAAATCTTAAAAGAAATTTTTTTCTATATTATATGTCTTATGAGTAGTCCTTAAGTTTTCTACTAACGTAGCATTAACCAGATTAAAATAAAATGCTTCATTTGCAAAATAAAAGCATTTTAAGATTGAACTCGTATACCTCACCGTGTAAAATTTGGAAACCATCATCACACTCATAGTCCATCTATTCTCCACGAGTGCCAACTTTGATTTACCAATTGGCCAATGTCTTATTGTACGATTTTCCACAGACCTGAACTGATTTGCACCAGAGTTTATAATAGAAGAGTTACGCAGACTGAAACCAAAATTTACCTATCGAACTGTCAAACCGTCTACACTGAACCAATATGACTTATTCCTGTTATATGGAAATCTAATAAATTTGCGCTATAAGAAAATCCAATGAAAACGATATGTTTGAAAATGTGTCAAGTAAATTCTACATGAATATCTTATACATTTTCAATGCTGATAAGTTGGTAACTTTTATATTATCGTCATATACCTAATGAAATGCGGTAAAATTATAAGAATTAACAGAAATGGATTTGAAACCCAAAAGCATAACTTTTACTTTTCAATACAATATCATATCCATGTCATAAATCAATATAATTAAAATGTATATGAAAATCACATAAAATGTAAGTGGTAATAAGTCGATGTCCTTTTTATTTCATAGCACTCGCAGCTCAGCTGCGGTGCTGTTTCGATGGAGGAGTGTGGAGCTCCGCTGCTTCTGTATACACACACAGATTTTTTTACAGGAGTTAGTATTTTTACTGGATTTTTGGATTACTGACTCGGTTAAAATTCAAATGACTTGTTATTCGTAAAGATTGGATAAAATCGTATTTTTTTATTTTTCATCATTACACGGTGTTAACAGAAGTTAGTCTGTAAATTTTGGTAACATATTTCTCAACTTTGAATTTTTCACAGATTTTTTAAATTTTACCGAAGTGTTCCGCAATTCAAAAACTCGGTAAAAATTACTGACTCGATAAGTGTGTACTAATGATATATATATATATATATAAGTGACCATATATTTATATATATATATATATATATATATATATATGGTAACTTTTTTCAAGCCAGTTACTAAAAAGTTTCTTTTTGAAGGCTGTCACTAAAGTCACCTTTTCTTGTAATCAGTCACTATTTTCAACTTTTTTAGTGAATTTATTTCAAGATTGATCATTCTTTGCTTTGCGACGTTTAATCGTCTTTCTCTATCTATGTACACTGTTCACTGTCTACTCATTTTTCTAAATAAAATTTCATGAGTTTTTCCAGAACTTTAATGTATAAGAAAGCTATTTTTAAATGCGTTCAAAATACGCTTTTTTGGAAAATCAAAAACAACAGCAATTAAGACATGGCAATTAGTTTTATATCAAAAGCTTTACAATCAAATCCATTGAATGTTGAAGTTAAGCACTTGCTTAATTTCTCACTTAAAATAGTTTTAAAAAAACGCACTTAATTTGAGTAAGCCCAAGATTTAAAAATATTCAATGTCTTGAAGTTACGTATTCCAAGTACAAGTTCAAGATATTGAAAATTTTCAAAGTGCCAGGATTAAGGAAAACAAATAAATGATTTATTTCAAGTTCGTAATTAACTTTATGAAAAATTAGAGATCTTCATTGCAGTCCCATTAACTTCACAACAATTTTAGGAACTTTGAAGAAGTTCTGAGCAATAAAAGGAAATGCTGAGAATTTCGGTGAAGCTCCATAAACAAACTACGGGAACATAAGGGAAGTTAACACACTGAAAATATGGGAACTTACTAGAAGCTTTAAGATCCTCAAATCCGTTCTTTTAACAGCACAAAAACTTTTATGAAGTCACTAGAATTTCAGAACACATCATAGGTGTTAAGCGAACTTGATAAATATAGAAAACATGAGGGGTATTGTGCAAATTTTTAACAAGTTCTAAGCAGCTCAGAAAAGCTAGATCTAGAGATCTGGGGAATTTCCGATCTTAAGAGCAGTTCCCGTAACTTTAGTCCAGACTTTTGGGGCATTTAAAAGATCTATAATCGTAAATTTAGAAAAATTGAGAACCCTTAAGATGTTCCGAGAATTTTAGGAAAGTACAGAGACCATAAGAGAATATATGAAAACTTCAGAAATATTTCAGGAACTTCGAGACGTCCAGAGAAATTCTGGGAACTTTTTCTTCAATAGAATTGAGAGCTTTAAAAAAGCTTCAAGAACAACAAGACAGATCAGAGAATCAAAGGGCAGTTCAAATAATTTCATGGAAATTGTAGAATCTAAATGAACGTGAGAGTATTTTAAGGGTGTTTTGTTATGGAGATTTCAATAACTTTAAAAAATGTGAAAATTTAGCTAAGTTGATTAGAGAATATAAACAAAGTTCCATTAATCAAAAAAATGCTAGAACTTTTAGCAAGCTGCGATTCTTCAAAAAATTCCAGCGAACTTCTAATAAATTTAGATAGTTTCATGATATTCAGCAAAGTTCCGAGTACTTCGACGACGATCAGATAGCTTCAGAATAATCCCATTAACTTAAGCAAATTTGCGGCAATGGTTAGAATACTTAAGGAAAATTGTCGAATCTTCAAGGCAAATCAATAAATTTCAGTAAAGTTGCGGTTTCTTAAAATATAATGATAAATTCAGGGCAGTCTGGAGAACTTTAAAGATATTCAGTAATCGTTTAGGCAGTTTTAATAACACCAGGAAAGTCTAGACTATTGAAGAAGTTTTAAATTACTGTCGATAATTTAATGGAAGTTTCATGAACTTCAGAAAAATCTTGAGAACTTCAGAGAAAATCATAGAACTATATTAGTTATTTCATTCGAATTTCATGAAAATTGCGGAATCACAGATGTTCCATAAATTTAGAAAAACTTTAAAAACTTCACAGTGGTCTTCAGAAACATTTCGAGAACTTCAATGAAATCTATGGAGCTTAAGGAGAGATCCGCAAACTTCAGGAATGTTTATGAACATTAGCAAAATGCAGGAGCTTTTGAAAGAAGTGAAGTAAGCTCCGAAAATTGGAGGAATTTTGAGGGGAGTTCAGTTCCATTAGTTTCAGAAAATTTGTGGGAAATTTAAATTCCCAGATTTTCAGATAACTTCAGAAACGTTAAAAAGTTAATTGAAGTCTTCGCATAAGTTCAGAAGTTTACTGAAGCTTAAACATTTTTAGGACGGTTCAATTAAATTCAGCGCAGTACAACAAGCTTCATGAGAACTGCAAAAACTTTAGAGAAGTATTGAGAATTTCAGAAAAGCACAGAGAACCTCAGAGCAGTTCCGTTAACATTAGAGAAGTCACATCAATTTTAAAGAAGTTTAGAGAACTTCAGCGAATTGTTAATCCTTTAAAGGAGATCCAGGAAAAAACATTTAGGAAATTTTAGGAAGTCCTAAAAAGTTCAGAGAAGTTTAAGAATTTGATGAGAAGTATTGTGAGGCTCAGGCTAGTTTCTCAAACTACAAAAAAAAACTTCAAGGCAGTTTCATTAACTTAGGGAAAAATTTGGGAACTTTTAAGTAGTTCTGAAAACCTCGGAATAATCCATTCCATATTCAACGGTGATTTCCATTGAAATATTTCTCAAAATTTTGATGAAGCTATCCTCCGAATTTAAATTTTCTGTTAGTTTTCCTTGGAATTACCTTGAAAATTTCCACAATAAGAAACCCTTTGGAAAGATTCTCCAAATTTTAAATGTATTCATTTCAGATTTCTTTTTCAATCGCACTCCTTTTCTTGGAATTCTACTCACATTGGAAATCTTTTAAGAATTCATTGGCATTTTTCCTCACAAATCCCTTAGATTTCTTCTCATAATTTGTTTGGAAAACTCTCCTGAATTGAGTTTTCAAATTTCGTTGAAGATGCTCTTGAGTTATTTTCAGATTTAATTGTAATCCTTTTAGTATTTTCAAAAAAAATCCTATGACTTATGCTCCGGATTCGTTTTCTCCCACCAACTTTATGAAATTATGCTCAGAATGCCCTTGGAATTTGCCTCTGCAGCTCACATGAGTTGTTCTCCTCAGAAATTCCTACGAGTTTTCATTGAAATTTACTTTTAATTCAATTCAGGGTTTCTTAAAATTCTACTCAAAACTTCAATTGAAATCTAAAATTCCTCAGAACTACCTTGAAAGCAGATTGCACTTGATGTTTTTGTCCAAATTATTTTTTCCCAGAACTCCCTTGGAACAAACCTAGTCATATAATTAGACTCCAGATTCTTGAAAATTTCTTGAAGTATCAAAGCTCTATTAAATCCAGAGCTAGTTTCAATTTAATATTTCTAGGAAATATGCATGTCCCAAAACCAAAAAAAAACATTCCAAGCCTGTTTTTTTAATTTATTTGTTGCTGAAAATTAATTAATCCACTATCAAGTTCAAAGTGTGAATGAAAATAACGAGAAAAATAAATGCTTGTATTTTAAAATTATTTATTTTCTATCATATATTCTTCGTAAGAAAATTATTAAATTCTCTGAGACTCAGGTATTTTAGGGAAAAAAAATTCCTGTGGATTCTCGGTTTTCCAGATTTTTGCAGCTAGTAGACACCCTGACTAATACCGTGGGTTTGGACCATAAACTTTCTATTGAATCTTTCACTTTAAAGGTTCTTATCGTACATAAGTGTTTATGAGATGCTAATTGAATAAGTCTAAAAAATCAAACATTTATTTGGTGTGCCATCATAACGACTACTTTTCTTCTCTTAGGTCACTTTTTAGTCACTATTTTTGCAACTATAAGTCACTATTTGGTCACTTATTCCATCAACATGGTCACTAAAATCACTATTATTAACAGCAGTGATTGCTATCAGCCCTGCAAACGTAAAACTCCAAAATACAACTATGCTTTAGTTGATTCAAGAAAACCATTGTTGGGAAAACAAAATTTTACAATATTTATTAAAAGAACTGCTCTTCATTATCGACATATTTAGGAAGTTTGTTTTGCTTCTTTATCGATCTCAAAAACACAACTGCAAAATCATAAAGAAAAGTGAACAAGAACATTCAACTTAGATTTGAACCGTGTTCATTTGCGTGAGAGCCAGCTATCTTATCGCCTGCTCTACGCATCACAAGTTAAAAGTAAGTTAATTTATGATGATCATTTGAAACCAAATTATATAAATAAATTACATTTGACGGTTGTTATAATTTATCAAAGTTATAGTTGAATTGAGTATAAGATGAACAGTTGAATCTATTAGATAGATATGATTGAGTTGACGGTCAAATTATGTTGGAATAACTATACTGCAGTTATACGCATAACTGTCCCATGTATCCGGATCAACGATATTTAAACATGCGCATTCAATCTCGACGACATCTAATTCTGCATTTCAACACCTTTGCCTCTCCTTTCTATTATCCTTTACCTATGCATCTACACTTCTGTGTTAAGGATCAACTTAACCCTCATTTAGTATTCGGCTGATTTAAATCGACTCATCATTATCTAAGAGCCATCTCATCTTTATCTATTTGATTGATGCATGGAAGGTGTATAATGCCCTCTCCAGCATGGCACAATAATAATAATAATAATATCTCGTGTGATATTGCGAGCGGAAAAATATAATTTAATTGATGATTTTGCCAACACTGTGCAGGATAAAAAAATGTTCTTATTTCTTCTTCGCATTTAAAGCTTATTGCTTATCGCATTTTAGTTTATTGAGTTCTCTCAGCTTGGTGTTCTAGATTCACTTCCACAGTTCATGGTGGTCTTGCTTTGTAGCTATGCCTTTACCGACTGAGATAAGGGAGTATAAAGAATTGTACTATTGCCAAATCAGAGAAAAAATAGCATTAGGCATCAGATTATCAGTTTTCATAGCATTTTCACACGATCTCGGATCCCGTGATAATGTGGGTGCTTAACTAAATTGTCAGTTGAGCATCTCATAATAAATTGTTCTTCTTCCGCATTTCAAGCTTATTGCTGAGCTAAGGGAGGCCCTCATATTAAATTATCCTGCATATAAAAACCTCCGAGATCAATACGGTATCGGTCGCAGCATCAGAGATGCATTATCCAATTCGCCAGACAGGGAAAGGGACTTCCTTACAGACACCAATCTAGGTAGAACCCCGCAACGAACAATGGCATGACAACGGACGAACAACGTCCCTTGGCCAACACCAGCTCTCTAAATGACATGACGAACGGAAGAACGACGACGACAACCCCGCAGGCTTCGGACCTCTCTCTGAAATTAATTACAGCTTCGTTCGCTTCTCTTACTATTATAACAGTGTATACAGAACTCTGAGATCGTTAAACTCTGTAACAAACACTATGTATTGTTTTTTTTTCGGGGACCCCCTCAGGAATCCTTCCTCTTCAAAGAGACGAACCAGCTAAAGGGCTTAAAGTCTATAATAAAGCAGAACAAGAAGAAGAGCTTTAATAGTAGGCTGATAAAATAGTTTTCTGAGGTGAAGAGGTGACTTAGTAGATACTGATAAGACACACTTGCAACCCTAGTTATTGCCAATTCAGAGAAAAAAAACGCATTTGACAGATTATCAGCTTTAACAGCATGCCCTGAAACAGCAATATATTGAGGCTCATAATTATTCAAACTTATCTAATAATTTTACATTTGTATTTCAGTGAATAGTGAAGCCAATGCCCGTCGAATACAGATGGTCGAAAACTGTTTCGGCAGTTCCGGTCAGCCTTTGTATGTTCCAGGCCGGGTCCTAGTTGGAGAAGGTGTACTCACAAAGATGTGTCGCAAACGTCCAAAAGCGCGTCAGTTCTTTTTGTTCAATGACATTCTTGTCTATGGTAACATTGTAATTGGCAAGAAGAAATACAACAAACAACATCTGATACCATTAGAGGAGGTGCAATTACAAGCTCTTGAAGACAATGGACGTAAGTTGGGTTCAAACCAGCTCATACATATATTATTATAGTTACATGTAAATTTATGTTTTCGCTATTTGTAGAATATAGAAATGGTTGGTTGATTCGAACAGCTACAAAATCATTCGCCGTTTACGCTGCTACACAAACTGAAAAACAAGAATGGATGGCCCACATAAATAAATGCATTGAAGACTTGTTACGGAAAAGTATTGCAAACATTGTCAAAACTAACACTTTACCCCGCCGGTACCAAACTCTGCGCAATTTCTGGAATGTAACCGCTACCATTAGTTTTCTAGTGATAGAAAAGATATGTCTTAATCATTTGCCATACTGCCGCTCTTCGCATGTCGGTCCCATTTTCGTTTTTGTCAAACCCGAGTTTTTCCATGGAAAGCACCCATACTTTTGTAATACAGGATGAACTCAACAGCTTTGTTCTGAAAAAGCTGGGGGAAAACAGCAGAATGTGATGTCCCATGGCATAAGCAATGGTGCAAAGCTAATATAAAATGCGTTTTATCGGCTTACTGATTTATGCTATGGGCACCCACGAACTATCGGACCGCCATGAAAAAAGCGGCAGTAAACTGCCCATAAAAGCATAACAGTCACATCTTTGCTTGATTTCCTATTAAAATGGAATAGCTATGTGTTTATGGGTAGTGTACTTGCTGCCCATAAACGATAAAATGGCGTGTATGCTGTTCACTTATTGATTCACTATAGCGTTGATCGAGTGTTTTTTTTTTATCATTATTGTTCCAGTATAAGGCCTGCCCAACGTTTTTGAACCGCGGGTCAAATGTTAGAATCGAGATTAACTGGCGGGCCATTAATTTTCATTCTACATTGGAGCCGGATTTTACGCTGTTTTTTTTACGTGGTAGGTACGTTTTTAACATTTTTCCAATCACATTATCTGATTTGGGCCAAAAGTAATAAAATTGATTACTTAAAAATAAATCAAACAATTTAATAAATCAAACAAAAAATGCAAAAATGTCATGAGCTATCAGAATTCAAACATTTGAAAATATTCAAGTATATGAATTTATCAATCTTGGTTGGTCGGTGCTTACGCGGTTTCTCACATTTTTTATACAACCAGAAACTTTAGTGTTATTTAACAAGCATTAAGAATTGCTAAACTATATAAAGAAAACATAGGAAGGATCTTTCCAAGTGCGCATCACGAAAAGTTGCAGCCACTTGTTTATGTCATATATATGTTTCCGCAACTGTTTTATGACAAACTTGCTACTAGTGTTCATCAAGGATGCAAAATTCAACTAGGTATTTATTCTGTTAGTTGTTAACCGCTGACCGCTGTTGCAGCTTAGTTATTTAATAATAATCCTAAGATTGCTGGCTGCTCTCCAACACTCGTTGTATATTGATCTTAGAAACTGTTACTAACATGATTATAAGATCTTGTCTGACAAAGATGAACAAGAATAGAACAACCCGCGGCCGGATGCGAAGACTTTTTCTAAACTCGTTGCGGCAGGCCTGCAGTATAGTGTACTAAAACGATGTAGTAGCTAACAAAAGCAACATCAAACGCACCGAAAATGGAATGAAAATGCAAAAAATTAGGTTTTCCAATACCAATATCTATACAAATTTCCCAAAAATTTCAAATCGTCCCCAAATTTTGCACAGTTGTTTGGGGCCTCAAATGGAATAAAAAAATTGTTTTGAAAAAATTACCATGATGGCTCACCCAAATGGCTTACTAATCAGGTCCTGATGATTCTCCTAAAAAATTAGTTTGTTTGGATGCGAACTCATACTGCACTGGTCCTTTGAAAGAAATTATTTACTATGAGAAAAGTGAACGTCTTAGCTTAGCCTTACGCAAAAATGATTTAAGGAAAAGCTTGCTATCTGCTCTTACGTGAAATTTTATCAGCTACAATTTTGCTCAAAACCACTTTCTGATTAGACTTCAAGGTAATTAGTTATTAATTGATTTCTAATCGACTGGTTTAAGGGCAACACAACAGCTTGCACTTATGATATAATAGCCTAGATTTTTTTTACCCTTTTTCGTGTCAAACACACCTATGTTGCCTACTGGGCAGTTTTTTTCCTCTGATCGGGACATAACACCACTGCGACCAGTAATTTGATGTATTTTTTTTCCTTTGGTTTGTTTTTTCCGTCGATCTTGTTTTCCGTGCTGAGCACCAATGCTACCGACGTGCCAGGAAGGCAGCTCCCACACCTGGACCCTACCTATCGACCCATCACCTCATGAACCGGGGACCAACGGCTTTACTTCCCATCCGAAGGAAGGCGTGATCAGAGATGTTATGCCTCAGAACATCCCGGCGGCGCCGACTGGGATTGAACCCAGGCCTGCTGGGGTGAGAGGTAATCACGCTTACCACTACACCACCGGCGCCGTTAATTTGATCTATTGTACACACTAAGATTTTTTTTACAGGAGTCAGTATGTTTTTACTGGGTTTTTGAATTGCTGAAAAAATCTGTAAAAATTCAAATGACCGTTATCCGTAAGGAATCAATGAAATCGACCAAGTTTATTTTCTATCATTAAATGGGGTTAACAGAACTAAGTATGTACAAGTTCAGAACAAATTTTCTCATTAATAAATTTTTCACAGATTTTTAAACTTTTACCGAACAGTTCCGCAATTCAAAAACTCGGTAAAACCGTACTGACTCGATTAGTGTGTAGTATATCCCGTTTCCTTAGTTTAGTGCATGTCGTATTACTCCATCACTATTGAGAAATGATGAAGTATTCGATTTTTGTTTACAGTTGTCATTCTTGCATTTATCGCAAGGATCCGACTCTAATTGAAAGGTCCCGCTATGTAAACACCCTCCAAAGGCGCGCCCCGTTGTCAGTCAAAATTGGATTCCTAAGCAACAAAGTTAAGGAATGACACCGATAATGACCATGCATCAGAACCCTAGTCTTAACTACTTCAAACTAGGGATGAATAGAAGATTAGGAATCACATAGATGAAGACTAACTAACTCATTTTTTTCCTTGTTTCAAAATCATCCTCGGTGGACAAAGCCGAGTCTTGTCACTATCAACAAGGCATAAAAAGTAACAAGGACTAAGATGTGTTCCTTTGATTACTGAAAAATCCTGTTCCCCTAGTTTGAAGTAGTCAGGACTAGGAATCGGTGGTACATCTTAAATCCCGTAACGTACCACGAAAAGGTGATCTTTGCACGTTACTGAGCAGTTGATGGAGCATGTCATAAGAACATCATTCTCCTAATCAATTAACCACTTCATTCGAGCAGTTAAAATGACGTTTTCTACCACTCGAACTTTGAAAAAAAAACATTATTTTGAGATTTTTTCTTCTCGAACCACGAGAAAAGTCGCCAACATTTGTGCGTTTCATAAAAAAAAATAGAAATTAGTTGGTTCAGTTTTGTGAAATCGCTGGTAGAAAGTCAAGTCAAAACTGCTTGACAAAATGGTCAATTATCACTAATTATCCTGACGTTCAATTAAAATGCGGTCTTGACAAAAGTTGTAGCTGGTAAAATTTCACATTAGCACAGAAAGCAAAATGTTTCGTAGGCTATTACAGCGATGGGCTAAAACGATGAGAACATAAAGTTCACTTTACCCGTATAAATTTCAAAGGGCCAGTGCAGTATGAGTTCGCATCCAAATGAGTTAAAATTTTAGGAAAAATTGAATTATCAGGAAAAAATATGCGCTCATGCAGAATGTATTTATTTTCAAAAAGATAACATTTTTTAAAGTTTGAATGAAATAATATTATTCCATGCTACGGAACTAACATCCAAAATGTTGCTTATGTTTACATTGATTTTGGAACAGTTTATAGTGGAATGAGTTTATGTTGTGCTAATTTTGAGCTCTCTTTGTGTTTTTTTGAGCGCTCCTACCCACATTGCACGTTCCTCAAATTTTTGCGTGCTCTCTTTGGTATCTTGCTCTAAAAAATCCGAGTGCATGAGACTAATAGCGCACAGCTCAACTTTTTTTTTTTGAGCTGTGCACGTACTTCCAGACAATCCCTTATCACCCTAGTGAGTAAAGTCCTTGAGCATAAATTTCTTATTACTTATCAAGGTATCGCTTGATCAAAATCGGGTCATCAAACAAATGAAAATCCCCTATTGGAAAGGTAAACATAGTAATGAAAACTTAAAATAACCTACAGTCGAAAATTCAAGAGAACGCAAATATTTGGAATCGGGCATAGTGAGGTGCCGGCAGGTATGCTTGGTTCACAATAAAATGAATCGTTATTTTTTTCAACAGGTGGCAAAAAGCCAGTAGAGAATCATGCAGCTGTTTGGGTGCCGGATAGTGAAGCTAACATATGCATGCATTGCAAGAAAACGCAATTCACTATGTTAATTCGAAGGGTAAGATCATCCCCAAATCGCTTCAAGAGAAGATTGCTACGGTAAATTTTATTTTTTAGCATCACTGCCGAAACTGTGGTGCTGTGGTATGCGGACCATGTTCATCGAAAAAATTCCTTCTACCAGGACAAAGTACCAAACCCCTGCGTGTATGTTTAGACTGCTATGATAATCTAAGCTCAATGAAGAGAGAAGAGGTTACAACAAATCCCTCATTGTTAGAAAAAAAAACTCAACTTCTCTTTTTAAATATTAACAGAATAAAGGAATGAACGCCAATAACAACAAACCAGTGACATCTCCAGAAAGTTCCGGAGACGATGATTCAGACGATGAAGAAGAATCAAAAGATACACATGATCAGGTATGTTATCAAGTAAAAATGTAATACAGTAAAGACCCGATTTTGCCTGCCCCACTTTTGAAAATGTTTTCTAATCTTCTACGAAAATCATGCGCTTTTTTGGTGGTCTTATTGCACCAAAGTATGTACCTATACCTTAACCATCCATCTTGAAGATTAATGAGAAAAATTTGGAATTACGGTTATGTGAAATTATTGATAGATAAAAGTCCTATGCGCAGTGGGGCTAACAAATCGGGTCGGGCTAACATTACGGGTGACATGCTCAGTTACCGTGGGGTTAAGAACGCTTCACTTTTCAATCAGTTAACAAAAAATGAATTTGCAGTGATTTATGTTTTATGATTTATGATTTATGTTTATGAGTGTGTACTACAGTACACAGCATTTGCCATAAAAATTTGATTTGCAGAAAAAATGCAACCTAAAAAATAATAAAAAATTGTAATGGTTAGACATATCATTGTGCCTAATAAAGCGTACTTGAAGAATGGCACTTAGAATCACCCCTAAACAAATGGGGTGCATCGTGAATTTAACCTAAGTTTTTAACGTTGCCTAGAGCCATGATTAATAATGTGAAACATACATTTTATTAATCCATTTTACTGCTGCAATCTAACACATAAATCCAAAAAATTACGGCGGAGGCCTAAATCCGTGGTTTTTATTATTTTATTATTTTTCAAATATGTTTCTCTCTTTGCAACTGTTGTTTAGATTCTGTTCTTTTAGGGTTTTTTTTTCACGTGTTTTCTGTGGTTTTTGATTTTTGTGGGTGCCTTTGTTCGCTCAAATTTTGCTAGAGACGCGTTATAAATACTTTTTTTTTCCTATGCATATGCTTACATAGCTGAACACACAAAATTGAATAGGTATAGCAAATCATCCATCTCTGCCTCTCTATTTTGAAACCTTTTAATCACTGTTACTTTGACTATCCCATATATGTAACAACTTTCGATATTTTAAAGCAGGATGCATTTGACCCCTGTGGTTTTTTTCCCTTCCTATGGCTAGTTTTTGCACCTTGCTGCTGGTGGGCGGGCTTAATTTCATGCTTTATAGTGGAGTGTTGGAGACTGTAGGTTTATTGCCGGCGTTGCTGGCTCATGCCGCGATAGAATGGCGCCATGGGCAGGCGATGGGGATTACTAAGCTTCCCCTCTCTGATGAACCACTGCATGAGAGAACCGAAAATATAGTCTGGCAGTGATAGTATCACGCTTGTTACTCCTTTGTTTGAGAGGTGTATGAGTATAGGCACTGACGTTGCGTGCGGTACTGGCGGGTGGCCACTCTTATTTTATTTATTTTTACACAGATAGATATATTTGGGTTTGCAAGAGAATTAAACTATTAAAATATTTCAGAAAGTACCCTGCAGTGCTCCTTCTTTTTGCGTGACAAGCTTTCATTGTTGTTTTCATTGAAGTATTACGCAGGGAACAATGTTAAACACCATTTTTGTACATGGTATTGCAACTAATCTTATATATGCTTCATTTTGATTTAGGATAAGTGTTTGAACTATGGCTCGGGATTTCTACTGTGGTGTGCTTCTATTGTGACATCTTCTTCTTCTTCTTCTTATTCGCATTTCAAGCTTATTGCTTGGCGCATATTAGCTTATTGCGTGCTCTCAACTTAGTGTTCTAAATGCACTTCCACAGTTATTAATTGAGAGCTTTCGATGCCAATACCAATGCATGAATTTGTATATTGTGTGGCAAGCACAATGATACTCTATGCCCAGGGAAGTCGAGAAAATTTCCAACCCGAAAGATTCCCTCGACCGGACCGGGAATCGAACCCGCCGCCTCCGGCTTGGTAATACCGTGCCTTTACTGACTAGGCTATGAGGCCCCAGGTTTCTATTGTGACATACTCATACGTATTCTTGTGGTGCGACATAGTGGAAACGTGTGAGAATAGTTGGAGTATATACCCTATACAATTTAAAAATCAACTAGGAAATTAACTTCAAAGTGAAGCATTTTAGTCACTTGAAGGTGTCACCTGGGACGATCTAAGATATAATAAATACTAAATACAAAAGTACTTGAAACACGTTAAATTTTTGATTACAAGCACAAGTGCAGGTACTTAATAAAGCATGGGTTGATTTGGTAGATTAGAGATTTCAATTATTTATTAAATTAGGCTAATGAGATATCATAATCATCAAATGAACTTAAATAAGAAAATTCAGACAGTCTAATAACATTAAATAGATTAACAAAAGAGTTAGGATGCAGGGACTCCGCTTAGGGAGGCAACTAGCCTTTAAAGTTGTAGAATAAATCTTCATATTAAGCTCAATAAGAAAACGCAAGCAGGCCAGCATTAAGCAAATTAACAAGAAGAGGAATAGTTTAGGAAATAAGTAAAATTAGAGGTCTGTGACAATTAATAACTTTTAATCTTTTGTAGATATTGTTTTCACCTGAGTTTATTGCACTCGATTACTATAGATTTCCAGCCCAAAACGCAAACCGGTTGAACATGAGTATTTCCGATTTAAATGAAACATTACTTATACGTTTGCTACTACAAATGGTTGCATTTTTTCATTTAAATATGATTTTTTTTTTCTTCACAGTAACTTTTGAAAAAAAGTTTATTATATTTTTTTCAAAAAATTATGACACTAAAACTATTGATCTGATCAAGATGACATCTGGGCTGTTACAACAGGCGCGGATTTCGCGAATTTCGCGGATTTCGCGATTCTCGCGGATTTGTCGCGGATTTGAATTTTCAGTCGCGAAAATCGCGGAATCATTAAATGATGTCGCGAAAATCGCGAAGGGATTGATGTGCTGTCACAAAAATTGTGGAATTCATTGTAATCTTTCCGTCCCGGATTATTTTGCTGTCATCAATTTTGTTGTTCATTTAGCTCTCAATTTTTTACCGGTTCAAACCAAACACCCTGCAAATAATCGATATAGATGATCTCAATTCCAAAGTCACATTGGATTTACACGGAAATTCCCTGAGGTCTGTCCAATGTGAGACATTTTCCTTTTTTCCATTATGAACATAGCATTTTTCGTTGTCAAATCATAAACGAATCGTATATATGCGAGCAATTGCCATGTATACCGGATATTCTAGGTTCTCCAAATCATCCTGGAGTTCAGTTGATTTGTTCTACTATTTGTTTATTTGTTATGGTTGCATCAACAGACTAGAAATAGTCCCAATGATGTGTTGTAAAAAAGTACAGATTATACAGACGACATACATATACTACAGTTACTACAGTTACAAACGAAAATAACTTGGAAAGCATTGTCAAGTTACTAAAAATTTATAAGTCTTAAATTTTACACTTAGCTGTTGGGTATCAAGCGCCTTCGGTCAGCAAAAAAGGCAGAGAATCTTCGGCGAAGCATATTCCGTGTCAAGTGGAAATCGAACATCGACGCTACTCGGTTGAACACTAGCTGCAAGCCGTAAATAGCGCTCCCTATGCTATAATTAGTTCGAAGAAGTGGAAGTCTCAGCATAAGACTGTTGCGTAGTGATCGAGGTTGAACATTAATGTTCACTTGTTGCAGAATTGCTTCGCAGTCATTTCTACTATATCAACCAAGACTCCAATAATGTCTGTAGTATCGAAATATATCCAAACAGATTCAAAGTGTCTATGTGGATTGTACCCGACCTATTGCTACGTATACAAGATGTAATAAGTTCTGAAATCATTTGGGATATTAGATTATTTTTCTACTAGATCACCCAAGACTAATTCAATATCTGTAGTACCGAAATATGCCCAAATAAATTTGCAGTGTCTATGTGGATCATGCCAACCTATTTCCGTGTATGCCAAATGTTCTAGGATTTCCAAATCGATAATTTGATACTATAAATATTATCCTAGTCTTTGTTGATCTAGTTAAACAAATCATCTGAACTGCAGGACGATTTGGAGAACCTAGATCATCTTTTTTTTTTTCCTTTGGTTTGTTTTTTTCCGTCGATCTTGTTTTCCGTGCTGAGCACCAATGCTACCGACGTGCCAGGAAGGCAGCTCCCACACCTGGACCCTACCTATCGACCCATCAACTCATGAACCGGGGACCAACGGCTTTACTTCCCATCCGAAGGAAGGCGTGATCAGAGATGTTATGCCTCAGAACATCCCGGCGGCGCCGACTGGGATTGAACCCAGGCCTGCTGGGGTACCTAGATCATCTGGTATACGTGGAAATAATTAAACATTATCCATATAGACACTATGAATCTGTTTGGATATATTTCGATACTACAGACTTTATCCAAGTCATGGTTGATCTAGTAGAATAAATCATCTGAACTCCAGAACGATTTGGAGAACTTAAAACATCTGGTATACATGACAATAGTTCATGCATGATCCACATATACACTGTGCATCTGTCTGGAAATATTTCGATAGTAATGACATTGTCCCAATCTCGGTTGATCTAGTAGATCAAATTATCTGAACTCCAGTACGATTTGAAGAACCTTGAACATCTGGATTACTCGGAAATAGATCATGCATGATCCACATAGACACTTTGAATCTGATTGGACATTTTTCGATACTACAGACATTATTGCAGTCTTGGTTGATCTAGTAGAACAAATCAACTGATGTCCTGGACGATTTGGAAAACCTATAATTTCCTGTATACATAGTAATAAGTCGTGCATGATCCATAAAGTCACATATATACGATTCGGTTATTATTTGACAACGAAAAGTGCTAGGTTCACATTAGAAATAAAAAAAAAATCATGAAAATGTCTCACCATTGGACAGAACTCAAGGAATATCCGTGTAAATACACAACCGTGACGTGACCAACAAGTGTGACTTATGAAACTATGGTAATTTCTCGATTCTGTGCAGGGTATTTGGTTTGAAAACGTCAGAGACGCAAAGGTTAAATTTAAAAAAAAAATGCATTGCAAATGAAAATGCATTTTTTTTTTAAATAATGTTTCATCAAATCTAGGCCGGT